GCACCACATAAGCAAAAAGAAAAAAGCTGGAAGTGGCACTGTGGCTCAAGTGGTAGAGCACTAGCCTTGAGCTGAAGAGCTGAGGGACAGCACTCAGGCTCAAGTTCAAGCCCTAGGACTGGCAAAAAAAAAAAAAAATTAAAGCCAGCACAGGCTATATCTTGACACCAAACAGAAACCAAAACAAAACCCTTTTGAAACCAGCTGCTGGACGTTCACACCAGTAATCCTAGCTACTCAGGAAGCTGAGATCTGAGGATCACAGTTCAAAGCTAGCCAGGGCAGGAAAAGTCCATGAGACTCTTATCTACCGCTCAAGCGGTACAATGCTTGCCTTGAGCTGAAGAGCTGAGGGATAGTGCCCAAGCCCAGAGTTCAAGCCCCACAACCAAAAAAAAAAAAAAGAGTAAGGACAACACATGCAATTTAACCAACAAAAGGAAGATGGAGCCTGGCACCAGTGACTCAAGCCTGTAATCCTAGCTACTCAGGAGGCTGAGATCTGAGGATTGCAGTTCAAAGCCAGCCCTGGCAGGAAGTTCCTTGAGACTCATCTCCGATTAACCACCAGAAAACTGAAGTGGCATCATTTGCCTTGATCTGAAGAGCTCAGAGAGGGCGCCCAGGCTCAGAGTTCAAGCCCCACGACTGCCCCCCTAAAAAAAATTTCCTTTTTGAGTCAGGTATTGGTCTCACACCTATAATATAGTTATTCAGAGATCTGAGGATTGAGATTTGATGCCAGCCCACATAAGAAAATGCATGAGATTTGTATCTCCAATTGACCAGTAAACAGCAAGACACGGAACTGTGGCCCAAATGGTAGGAGAAAAAGCTAAGGGACAGTCCCCAGTCCCCATACACACACATACGCACACACACTGATTGGTTGAGCTGTTATCTTTGCTTGATTTCTCATTTCTGTCTTGGAAGAGGTGGACAATGAGACAATGCAATGTGTGATAAGGTAGGGAAAGGACAAAGAGAACCAAAGTGCAAAACTAGTGAAGAAAACAAGCCAATTCTCCTCTATAGGGATTCTGGGCCTGAATACGACCAAGTTCTCTGGGAAGCCTCACCCATGCGGAAGAGATCAAAGACTGAGTAGATAGAAAAGCAGACCTGGAAAAAGAAGAAATGGAATGTTGCAGACTAATAGCCAAAATGATCTTGGACTATCTTTAGTCCTTTTTAATGGATATTTATTATAAAACTCTATATCTGACCTAACGTTTTCCTTACTATCATGGTAAAATTCTAGGCAAGTACTGACAAACTCAATTGACCTTTGACCCTTAAAAGCTAAGAATGCAATCTGAGTTCCAGGGCCTTGGTCACTCATATTTCAATCTGAATAAATTATCTTTTTTTGTGGGGGCCAGTCCTGGGGTTTGAACTCGGGGCCTGGGCACTGTGCCTGAGCTTCTTTCACTCAATACTACCACTCTACCACTTGAGCCACAAGGTCACTTCTAGTCTTTTCTGTGTATGTGGTACTGAGGAATTGAAACCAGAGTTTCATGCATGCAAGACAAGCACTCCCCCACTAAGCCACCTTCCCAATCCTTATCTTTCATTTCCTTTGGAAAAATAACTGTATCTGGTGTCCAATACTAGAAAGCAGTTAAATCTGCAGGATTCATACAGGTGAGGAGCCAGAGTAACAAACATTATACCCAGTGGCTAAGACAGAATAAGGCTGCTGTCCATAACCCAGCTTATAAAGACTATCCCATTCAATAAACCCCACCAAAAGAACTTTACCAGAATATGTACATAAGGGTTATAAATCAATAAAAACTTCTGTCAAGGAAAAGGGAAATAAGTGGAGTAAGAACAGGCAGGTGAGGGCTGCGAATGTGGCTTGGTGGTATAGAGTGCTTGCCTAGCATGCATGATGCTCTGGGTTCATATTCCTCAGTACCACATTAAAGAGAAAAAGCTAGAAGTGCTGTAGTGGCTCAAGTGGGAGAACTGTAGCCTTAAGCACAGAGCAGCTCATGGACAGTGCCCAGGTCCCAGTTCAAGCCCCAGGACTGGCAAAAAAAAAAAAAAAGAATAGGCAAGTAACAAAACAAAATACCAATAAGGCCTGTGTGGCAACCAACGCTTAATCCTAGATACACAGGAGACAGAGACAGAGACAGGCAAGTTGTGGTTAGAGACCAGCCCAGACAAAAAGTTTTCAAAACAACATATCAACCAATAGCTGGGCCAGATGATGAGCCAGGAAGCTGAGAAAGGCACAGTTGGGTGGAAAGGGAGTTTCCACATGAGCCCATTTCTATTGAAAAAGCTGAAAAGAGATATTAGCATCATGATCCAGAACAGCCTGGGCAAAACAGAAACCCATGGGGCTGGGAGGGTGGCTCAGTGGTAGAACGCTTACCTTGCATGAATGATGCCCTGGGTTCGATTCCTCAGTACCACATAAACAGAAAAACCCGGAAGTGGCGCTGTGACTCAAGTGGTAGAGCGCTAGCCTTGAGCTGAAGAGCTGAGGGACAGCGCTCAGGCCCAGAGTTCAGGTCCCAAGACCAATCAAAACAAAAAAAAAGGAAGCCCCTAATCTAGAAAATAATCAGAATAAAAAAGAAGTGGGGGCAAGGATCAGCACACCTAGCAAGCTGAAAACCAAATTCCAATGAAGCCAAAAGGGGAGAAAAAGAGCCAGGTGCTGGTGGTGGCTCACTCCCTGTAATTCTAAGGAGACTGAGATCCGAGGATCACTCTTCAAAGCCAGCTTGGGCAAGAAAGTCTGTGAGAATCATCTCCAATTAACCACCAGAAAGGAGGAGGAGACGTGGCTCAAGTGGTAAAGCTCTAGCAAAAAGAAGGGACAGTGAGTGCCCTGAGTTCAAGCCCCAGGACCAACATACATACATACATACATATATGCATACATACATACGTAAATAAATAAATCTGTGTAAAGCTGGGGATCAGGGGCTCACACTTGTATAATCCTAAATACTCAGAAGGCTGAGATTTAAGAATTGGGGTTTGAAAGCAGCCGGGCACCGCAAGTCCCTGAAACTCTTATCAGTACAAGCCACCAAAAATCATCAGTGGAGCTGTGGCTCGAGTGGTAGAATGCCAACCAAACAGCAAAAAACGCCAAAGGGCAGCGCCCAGGCCCTAAGTTCAAGACACACACACACGCACACACACACCCCGTCTGAATGAATAATACATGAACTCTGTACTATTTAGTTATCAGTGGCCAAGTGTGTTTACCCCAAGCAGCCAGGACCACTGAGAGGTTAAAAGGAAGCTGCATCGAGTACGCGCGCTCTCCCTTTGGGTTTGGTTTGGAGACCGAGTCCTGCAGAGCCCGAGCGTCCGGAAGCTGCCGGAGCTGAGGAGCGCCGACCCCGCCGGGAACTTCGGCAGGTAGCCCAGGCGGGGAGGCCACGCCCACACGCCCGAGGATTTGCAGCCCGGCGCCCCCCGCGAGTGGCCGCTCCGCGCCGACGGAACCCGCGGGAAACCCCGGAAGGTCTCCCAGAGCCCCGCCGCG